CTGGTGTTTCTTATTCCCATTTTTAAAGTACTGGAAACATCCCCCAATTTACTCAAGTGCTTGAGAAGCAGGGGGAAAAATTCCCCAAAATTGGGCCCCGCAACCCCCGGGGAGTATTTCTGCTAATGTCAAGTTTTCTTACTTTTTGAAAGTAAACAATCTTTAAAAAATAATTACTTTTTTGGGAAAAATGGTTCGGGCGGGTCGTTAAAGGGAGGATGTGCCCCATTTTCCCCAAAACGTTCACGTTTTTTATCTGTGTTTTTGTATGTGAAAGTGTGGTGTTTAGATTTTTTTGGTGCTTTGTAACGCCTTTGTGTTTCCCCCAAATTCGCATTTGAATCCCAAGAGAAACAAACTTTTTTCCATGTTTCCCTTTCTGAAATAAAAAACTTAAATCTCGTCATGACTCCCTTTCAGGGAAACCCTCCACTTCTATGGTTTTTTTTCTCTTCATGTTACTTTGGGCTCTTTTTTTTCAAGGGACAATCACTGAAGGCATTCTCTTTGTGAGTCAGTTTCTTTCAAGACGTCTTCATTACTCTTTTTATCTGTCCATAGTATTCTCAACATGTGTCTGTCAAACCATATCTAAGCAGCTTCGGAATGAGTTTCCGCTAATTTCACTAATCATTAACTCTTTGAGTCCCGGGGGTTTAGCATCAGAGGCCCAAGTTCTAGTCAAGAGAAACCTAAAATCGGCGCATCTTGTGTTTATTGGGCCTCTAGGTAGGAACCCAGGAACGTATGGTGCGTTCCTTGGGACTCAAAGAGTTATTGAGCCCCGAAAAAAGAATAAAAACATTACAGCTACGACTTAACAGTATTAATTCACTGGCCTGTTGTACCGTTATATGTTACATATGACTCGCCGTCTATTCCTTCGTTCCCTTGCATCCTGTGTGATGACTTTAAATTTTGTTTCATATCTTTAGTGGTTCTCAAACTTTCATCGGCAATGTTAACACTGAAATAATAGAGGAATTTAAAAATACATAACCTGATTCTAAAAACTATACAATTGAGATTTCATTATTTTGACCAGTCTGCTGATGCCTTGCAATATGTCACAAATGATTTCTTTGCTTTTCATTGACTATCAAGATTACTACCTAAATAAGTAAATTGTTCAGTTACTTTAATTTTGTCTCCAGTATAACATGTATATATGTATATATGATCAACCTTTTTTATATATCTTATAAATGTCTCCAGTATTACATATGATTAACCTTTAATGTATGTCTTCTAAATGTCTCCAGTATTACATATGATCAACCTTTTATGTGTGTCTCTAAATGTCTCCAGTATTACATATGATCAACCTTTTATGTGTGTCTTCTAAATATCTCCAGTATTACATATGATCAACCTTTTATGTATGTCTTCTAAATGTCTCCAGTATTACATATGATCAACCGTTTATGTGTGTCTCTAAATGTCTCCAGTATTACATATGATCAACCGTTTATGTAAGTCTCCTAAATGTCTCCAGTATTACATATGATCAACTTTTTGTGTGTGTCTCTAAATGTCTCCAGTATTACATATGATCAACCTTTTGTGTGTGTCTCTAAATGTCTCCAGTATTACATATGATCAACCTTTTATGTGTGTCTTCTAAATGTCTCCAGTATTACATATGATCAAACTTTTGTTTATGTCTTCTAAATGTCTCCAGTCTTACATATGATCAACCTTTTGTGTATGTCTTCTAAATGTCTCCAGTATTACATATGATCAACCTTTTATGTGTGTCTCTAAATGTCTCCAGTATTACATATGATCAACCTTTTGTGTGTGTCTCTAAATGTCTCCAGTATTACATATGATCAACCTTTTATGTGTGTCTCTAAATGTCTCCAGTATTACATATGATCAAACTTTTGTTTATGTCTTCTAAATGTCTCCAGTCTTACATATGATCAACCTTTTGTGTATGTCTCTAAATGTCTCCAGTATTACATTTGATCAACCTTTTGTGTGTGTGTCTCTAAATGTCTCCAGTATTACATATGATCAACCTTTTGTGTGTGTCTCTAAATGTCTCCAGTATTACATATGATCAACCTTTTATGTGTGTCTCTAAATGTCTCCAGTATTACATATGATCAACCTTTTGTGTATGTCTTCTAAATGTCTCCAGTATTACATATGATCAACCTTTTGTGTTTATCTCCTAAATGTCTCCGGTATTTCATTTGATCAACATTTTATGTATGTATTCTAAATGTCTCCAGTATTACATATGATCAACCTTTTGTGTTTATCTCCTAAATGTCTCTGGTATTTCATTTGATCAACATTTTATGTATGTATTCTAAATGTCTCCAGTATTACATATGATCAATCTTTTATCAGTCTTCTAAATGTCTCCAGTATTACATATGATCAATCTTTTATCAGTCTTCTAAATGTTTTCGTTTCATAATTTATTTTTAGCCCAATATTTTATGCTTTTTTTTTTGGGGGGGGGGGGGGGGGGGGGGGGGGGGGGTAGGAGCTAATTTATCTGTTTTTATTTGCATATAGTTACTGTTCTTACATAATACTAATAGACGGATTTCCCCATAAGACATTCGATGTCATGGTTTATAAAGTAAAATACCCGGATATAATTGTACTGCTACAGTGGTAAACGCACTTGTTGCTGCTATTTCTTCCACTACTACTACTACTACTGCTACTACTGCTGCTGAAACTGCTGCTGCTACGACTACTACTACTAGCAGGAGCTCTAATGTTGCTGCTGCTACTTCTATAATTACTACGACTACAAGCATTCTGCTCATGTTGCTGCTGATGCTGCTGCTGCTACTACTCCTACTACTAGTACTTCTGTTGCTAGTGGTACTGCTACTACTACTTCTGCGGCTGCTACTATTCCTACTACTACTACTACTACTACTACTACTACTACTACTACTACTACTACTACTACTACTACTACTACTACTACTACTACTACTACTACTACTACTACTACTACTACAACTACTACTACAACTACTACTACAACTACTACTACAACTACAACTACTACTACTACTACTACTTCAACTACTTCAACTACTTCAACTACTTCAACTACTTCAACTACTACTACTACTACTACTACTACTACTACTACTACTACTACTTACTACTACTACTACTACTACTACTACTACTACTACTACTACTATGGCTCCTTTAACTGCCAGTAATAAAATTATTAATAAAAATAATAATAATAATTTAACCATCATTACAAATAACACTACGACTACCACCACAACCACTACTATAGTCACCACCATCATCACCACTACAAATGCTATCAGCATCACTACTACCATGCAACCATTTTAAACACTGCTACTTCAGCTTGAATTTATGTGACTGCTACCAACCACACACCCACATCTAATCTCAGTCTAAAGCTAACCTTTCACAAAGCCAATCATTTCTCTAACAAGTACCTTTCTATCCACAACCAAACCACAGGACGTCTTCCACTGCCGTTTTCATGGCAGTCCCGAGACCCCTTTCAACGGGGTCTACAACACGTCGTGCACGGGTCATGAGCGGATCCCTCCGGCGAACTTCATGATGGAAGCCCAGCTTCAGTTCGTCTCTGATGCGGTCATGGCCTTTGCTTACGCCTTCAAGGTGAGT